AGTGGTGATGGTGAGATATGCTAGATCATCAATTAACCTAAATTCATACAAACACCTGTATTCTTTAAATGTAAAATTTAGTATGTTAAAATCCATAAGCCAATTCATAATTAAACTAGTACGTAAATCATCCACAACATAGAGTCATATATCAGGCATCTAATAAAGTACTGTTTATTTTCAGTTTCCTACTTAATATTTGAAATCTTCTCTCCGCCATTTTTGCTGGGATCTCATCGTTGGAGATGATGGAATAATGACTTGGAGGCGGCTGGGCACATTGGATTGGAACAGCATCCCAACAACGCTGGAATGGAGGTATTTCTTAGTCACTAAGAAATAGCAGAGGTAAGATTGTTTCATTATTATTTTGACACCCCCTACTAAGTACCGGTACTAACATTTCCCTTCCCTCCCCCACTCTCAGCACATCTTTTGTACAGTAATAGTTTTTTGTTGTGTTGTTTTTGATGTGTCTAATCTTCTCTGTTCTCTCTTTGCCGGGACCTCATCGTTGGAGATGGTGGAATAAAAACTCTGAGGTGGCTGGGCACTTAGGATTGGAACAGCATCCCAACAACGCTGGAATGGAGGTATTTCTTCGTCACTAAGAAATAGCAGAGGTAAGATCGCTTCATTATTATTTTGGCACTCCTACTAAGTACTAACATTTCCCTTCCCTCCCCCACTCTCAGCACATCTTTTGTACAGTAATAGTTTTTTGTTGTGTTGTTTTTGATTTGTCTAATCTTCTCTGTTTTCTCTTTGCTGGGACCTCATCGTTGGAGATGGTGGAATTAGGACTTGGAGGCGGCTGGGCACATTGGATTGGAACAGCATCCCAGCAACGCTGGAATGGAGTATTTCTTAGTCACTAAGAAATAGCAGAGGTAAGATCGTTTCATTATTATTTTGGCACCCCTACTAAGTACTAACATTTCCCTTCCCTCCCCCACTCTCAGCATCTTTTGTACAGTAATAGTTTTTTGTTGTGTTGTTTTTGATGTGTCTAATCTTCTCTGTTTTCTCTTTGCTGGGACCTCATCGTTGGAGATGGTGGAATTAGGACTTGGAGGCGGCTGGGCACATTGGATTGGAACAGCATCCCAACAACGCTGGAATGGAGGTATTTCTTAGTTAGTCACTAAGAAATAAAGAGGTAAGATCGTTTCATTATTATTTTGGCACCTCCTACTAAGTACTAATATTTCCCTTCCCTCCCCCACTCTCAGCACATCCTTTGTACAGTAATAGTTTTTTGTTGTGTTGTTTTTGATTTGTCTAATCTTCTCTGTTTTCTCTTTGCCGGGACCTCATCGTTGGAGATGGTGGAATAAGGACTTGGAGGCAGCTGGGCACATTGGATTGGAACAGCATCCCAACAACGCTGGAATGTAGGTATTTCTTAGTCACTAAGAAATAGCAGAGGTAAGATCGTTTCATTATTATTTTGGCACCTCCTACTAAGTACTAACATTTCCCTTCCTTCCCCCACTCTCAGCACATCTTTTGTACAGTAATAGTTTTTTGTTGTGTTGTTTTTGATTTGTCTAATCTTCTCTGTTTTCTCTTTGCCGGGACCTCATCGTTGGAGATGGTGGAATAAGGACTTGGAGGCGGCTGGGCACATTGGATTGGAACAGCATCCCAACAACGCTGGAATGTAGGTATTTCTTAGTCACTAAGAAATAGCAGAGGTAAGATCGTTTCATTATTATTTTGGCACCCCCTACTCAGTACTAACATTTTCCTTCCCTCCCCCACTCTCAGCACATCTTTTGTACAGTAATAGTTTTTTGTGGTGTTGTTTTTGATTTGTCTAATCTTCTCTGTTTTCTCTTTGCCGGGACCTCATCATTGGAGATGGTGGAATAAGGACTTGGAGGCGGCTGGGCACATTGGATTGGAACAGCATCCCAACAACGCTGGAATGTAGGTATTTCTAAGTCACTAAGAAATAGCAGAGGTAAGATCGTTTCATTATTATTTTGGCACCTCCTACTAAGTACTAACATTTCCCTTCCTTCCCCCACTCTCAGCACATCTTTTGTACAGTAATAGTTTTTTGTTGTGTTGTTTTTGATTTGTCTAATCTTCTCTGTTTTCTCTTTGCCGGGACCTCATCGTTGGAGATGGTGGAATAAGGACTTGGAGGCGGCTGGGCACATTGAATTTGAGATGGTGGAATAAGGACTTGGAGGCGGCTGGGCACATTGGATTGGAACAGCATCCCAACAATGCTGGAATGGAGGTATTTCTTAGTTACTAAGAAATAGCAGAGGTAAGATCGTTTCATTATTATTTTGGCACCTCCTACTAAGTACTAACATTTCCCTTCCCTCCCCCACTCTCAGCACATCTTTTGTACAGTAATAGTTTTTTGTTGTGTTGTTTTTGATTTGTCTAATCTTCTCTGTTTTCTCTTTGCCGGGACCTCATCGTTGGAGATGGTGGAATAAGGACTTGGAGGCGGCTGGGCACATTGGATTGGAACAGCATCCCAACAACGCTGGAATGTAGGTATTTCTTAGTCACTAAGAAATAGCAGAGGTAAGATCGTTTCATTATTATTTTGGCACCTCCTACTAAGTACTAACATTTCCCTTCCCTCCCCCACTCTCAGCACATCTTTTGTACAGTAATAGTTTTTTGTTGTGTTGTTTTTGATTTGTCTAATCTTCTCTGTTTTCTCTTTGCTGGGACCTCATCGTTGGAGGTGGTGGAATTAGGACTTGGAGGTGGCTGGGCACTTTGGATTGGAACAGCATCCAAACAACGCTGGAATGGAGGTATTTCTTAGTTAGTCACTAAGAAATAGCAGAGGTAAGATCGTTTCATTATTATTTTGGCACCCCCTACTAAGTACTAACATTTCCCTTCCCTCCCCCACTCTCAGCACATCCTTTGTACAGTAATAGTTTTTTGTGGTGTTGTTTTTGATTTGTCTAATCTTCTCTGTTTTCTCTTTGCCGGGACCTCATCGTTGGAGATGGTGGAATGAGGACTTGGAGGCGGCTGGGCACATTGGATTGGAACAGCATCCCAACAACGCTGGAATGGAGGTATTTCTAAGTCACTAAGAAATGGCAGAGGTAAGATAGTTTCATTATTATTTTGGCACCCCTACTAAGTACTAACATTTCCCTTCCCTCCCCCACTCTCAGCACATCTTTTGTACAGTAATAGTTTTTTGTTGTGTTGTTTTTGATTTGTCTAATCTTCTCTGTTTTCTCTTTGCCGGGACCTCATCGTTGGAGATGGTGGAATAAGGACTTGGAGGCGGCTGGGCACATTGAATTTGAGATGGTGGAATAAGGACTTGGAGGCGGCTGGGCACATTGGATTGGAACAGCATCCCAACAATGCTGGAATGGAGGTATTTCTTAGTTACTAAGAAATAGCAGAGGTAAGATCGTTTCATTATTATTTTGGCACCCCTACTAAGTACTAGCATTTCCCTTCCCTCCCCCACTCTCAGCACATCTTTTGTACAGTAATAGTTTTTTGTGGTGTTGTTTTTGATTTGTCTAATCTTCTCTGTTTTCTCTTTGCCGGGACCTCATCGTTGGAGATGGTGGAATAAGGACTTGGAGGCGGCTGGACACATTTGATTGGAACAGCATCCCAACAACGCTGGAATGGGGGTATTTCTTAGTCACAAAGAAATAGCAGAGGTAAGATCGTTTCATTATTATTTTGGCACCCCCTACTCAGTACTAACATTTTCCTTCCCTCCCCCACTCTCAGCACATCTTTTGTACAGTAATAGTTTTTTGTTGTGTTGTTTTTGATTTGTCTAATCTTCTCTGTTTTCTCTTTGCCGGGACCTCATCGTTGGAGATGGTGGAATAAGGACTTGGAGGCGGCTGGGCACATTGGATTGGAACAGCATCCCAACAACGCTGGAATGGAGGTATTTCTTAGTCACTAAGAAATAGCAGAGGTAAGATCGTTTCATTATTAATTTGGCACTCCCTACTAAGTACTAACATTTCCCTTCCCTCCCCCACTCTCAGCACATCTTTTGTACAGTAATATTTTTTTTTTTGTTGTGTTGTTTTTGATTTGTCTAATCTTCTCTGTTTTCTCTTTGCCGGGACCTCATCGTTGGAGATGGTGGATAAGGACTTGGAGGCGGCTGGGCACATTGGATTGGAACAGCATCCCAACAACGCTGGAATGGATGTTTTTGTTATGTTGTTTTGTTTTGTTATGTTAATGTTAAGTTGTTTATGTTATCTTAGTTGTTATAGTTCTTTCTTTGTTACTGTTGTTAGTTGTTAGTTATTTGTTTATTTTTAGATAATATTATTTATCTAATGTTTATTTTGTTAGTTTTGTTCATTATATTAGTTATTTGTTACATTAAGTGTTTTTTTTTGTTAGACATTTGTTAATTCAAGTTTTGTTTGTACTTTGTTATGTTGATTTGGTAAGTTAAGTATTTTGTTATAATTGTTATTAGTATAATCTTTTTGTTGTTGTTATGATTATGTTATTTGTTATTGCTATGAGTTTTAGTTATTTGTTATTATTATGAGTCCTAGTTATTTGTTATTGGTATATCAGTATTAGGTATTTGTTATTGTGTTTTAATTGTTATGAGTTTAAGCTATTTGTTATTGTTATGAGTTTTAGTTATTTGTTATGAGTTTTAGTTATTTGTTATGAGTTTTAGTTATTTGTTATGTCAGTATAATTAAGGTATTTGTTATTGGTATGTAAGTATTAGGTATTTGTTATTGGTTATTAGTTATTTGTTATTGGTATGTATATCAGTATTAGTTATTTGTTGATGGTATCAGTATTAAGCATGTTTCTAATGTTCTTTGTTGTATTTTGCAGTGATATCTACATTTCAGTTTTGATTGAAAAAGACAACAGGACATGGTGGAAATGGAATATGCATGTCTGATGGACAATCAATCTCCAAGATGTGGAAACAGCAGCTGGAACCAACAGGACTTGATGGAAACAACTGGAGGAGACATGCCTGATGGACATTGATTTCCCAAGATGTGGAAATAGCAGCTGATTTCCCAAGATGTGGAAACAGCAGCTGCATCCAACAGGACTTGGTGGAAACAACTGGAGGAGACATGCCTGATGGACGTAGACTTTCCAAGATGTGGAAACAGCAGCTGTGGCCAACAGGACTTGGTGGAAACAACTGGAGGAGACGTGCCTGATGGACATTGACTTTCCAAGATGTGGAAACAGCAGCTATGGCCAACAGGACTTGGTGGAAACAAATGGAGGAGGACAAGCCTGATGGATGTTACCCCCCCCCCTTTTCAAGACATTTCACAGCAGATAACTGACACTGATCAGGTATGTGACATAATCATGATCCATGATCCACTAGATTACTAGTATCTTATTAATAAAAAGTTCCAAATTACAATGGCTACAATTTAGAATAAATTAACATATCTTAGCTAACCGTAATATTTTCCTAGGATTTGTTAAGAATTTCGCTGGGGATTCCAAAAAACTTTGCTATATACGTGAATCCACTACATCCATGTACGCACTAAATGAGTTTTACTGAACAAAGCATCAGAATTTAATTCGAATTAGCTTTGCTTAGCATTTACATGGAGCTAATGCAAAATAATTTGATAGGCCGTTAATTTGAATTAAGCTAATTCACATTAAATTTTCCGAGTGAATGTGGTTCAAGTTGAATTCGCAGTAACTTGCATTTTATTGGAATTAAATCACCTGTGTGAGCAGGGCATAAAATGTGTAGCTTCTGTCAGACATGTGAGGAAACAATTTTTCATATTATTTCATGTGGAATTCCCACAGTGGGAATGCCAGAGGGTTCAGGAACATATAATTTCTTCGAAGCTTATAATCAGGTCGAGTACACTACCTCTAATGGAAGGTATTTTTCATTACATGACGATATTTTCGTCAAACCCATTCTCCAATCAATTGAATGTGTTACGTTGCAAAGCATATGACAGTCTACTATGTGTTTACTATTAAACAGCTACATGAGGTTTTTGTCGTTATAGTGCATAATATTTACTTGGTCACTGGAAAAACTGTACAACTTCTTTTTCATTTTATATGGCTGAAATTGAAAGATTATATACCAAAGACAATGTTCCATGTTCACATTGAATATTGAGTATTCTATTAATAGTTACATCAAATACTGTCTAAACTCTTTGACATACATGATGTCTTACATACATAATGGATACATTGAATATGTTTTGAAAATAATGAAAACAAAAATTGCACACTGGTGTATTGATGTTTAGATCTAAGAAAAATATCTTAAATACAAGTTATTACTTTTGACATACATGAATAGATATATGTATAGATACACAAATGCAATCAATGACAGAAAAGTATATCCTTAATTCTTGTTAAAAATGTCAACAAAAAACATCTAGATTTTTCATTAAGCCAGTACTACTCTTATGAAAATCAAAAAGAAATCATTTTAAGTGGCAAATGAGTACCATTTTTAAGATAGCATTAGAATATATGTTCATAGTATTATTACAAAGAAAAAAGGTTTTGAATTTTAAGGTAGCTAGGTCGCGGGTTTACTGAAAACATATCCTGAAAATTTGATATAATGCAATATGTTCCTTAGAATTTACAGCATATGAAGTGTAATTTTTATTAAATTTGCCTACATAGTTTTATTGTTATGTAACTGTAAACGTGGAATAGTTTTTACTACTCTTTTTACGTTTTACTATTGAAATATATAGAAAAATGACTTTTTCAGGCTAATTTTGCAAAAAGAGTTTCTTTAAAAAAGGTTGGATAACTTTTTAAAGATGTAGACGAATTAGGAATTTCAAAATGTCAAGATGATCGAGGTAAAATTAAAACTATTGAGATGAAAAAATCAATACGTCTTCTCGCTAGTTTTTTGCTAAATAATTTCAAAGTTGCTTTTACATTGCCAAAATGTTGTGTTTATGGCGTTATTTATGACTTCAACTTCGTATGTTGATCGTAATCATACACGTTAACAAACGAGTATTAATAAATTTACATTTAGAATATGCAAGATCTAAAAGGTGACATAGATGCAAAATGTAACTTTATTCATCATTTCACTTATTGCGGAAACATGTTAGGATGACCAGCAACTTATTTACATTTAAGTATTGCTCACAAAGTCAGAATGAACGGTAAAAACATTCCTCGTGCATAAGAATTAACATGCAGCGACAACACCGCAAGTGATAAATATTAATTTTTAGGATGTTCATGTTCAATAAGATACCAAGCATTACACATGAATTTGATCACTTCATTTGAACAAGTATGACCAGATACACTAACTGTCCATTTGGCAGGTTGGGCTACATGAAATTTTAAACAATTCAATGCTACATTTGTACAAAATGAAATTCAGTGTTTACTACTGTCCTTGTCAATCTAACCTGGAACTAAAGATGCTTGATATATGTATGAAAGTAGAAGAAATCCCACGTTCAAAACCATTTTAATTTTTGTGTAACTTTGAAAGAAAAAGAACTGAATTGTTTGATATGTGCATGAATGCATACCCTGACTTTGGGAATTACCTTACTTTTACTTTCATTTTCAGTTGTTTTTGCGAATGTGCATTTTGCTGGAAAACGAATCTGACATATGCCATGTGCACCTTGAGATTTTAACCAGATAGAGAAAAATTGATGAGCTTTCACTTAAGGGGTGTCCCATCCTTCAATGAAAATTAGGGGAGAAGCTGTGTGAGAAAACATTGACATTGTCACCTATAGGAATTAAATGTATTAGTGGACTATACCCAGACTGATGGATTTGACCCTCTATAATGTGGAAATGAGCTTCTACACCAGACAGGAATTGGTGGAAAAACTTGGGAAAGACAAGTCTGATGGATGTTGACCCTCTAAGATGTGGAAATGAACAGCCACAGTCAGACAGGAATTGGTGGAAGCAACTAGAAAAGACAAAACTGATGGATGATGACCTTCCCAACAGGAAGACTTATCCCTGTGGAGAACTGTCACTGATCAGGTATGTGACATAATCAATGATCCAACATCTTTTTTTTAAAAAAGTATGTACAGCAAAAAGATATTATCTTAGAGCATTATAATATTTTACTTAGATATATGTCTGTTAATATTCTTTTATTAATTTCTGTTTATACTTAGATGCTGAAGTATTAACTTCTATGTTATAGTGTGCTTTGATGACAATATCCAGTAGGAGACTCAAATAAAGCCATGTGGATGTGCTTGACATTATGAATGACAAGGAGCCCTCAGGTATGGAAATAATTTAAGTCACCCAAGTATGCCATTCTGTAAGTCTCTGTTCTTCATTTTACTTCATTGATCCTATTGGTTAATTACCTTTTTTTCTCATTCACTGACAGAAAATAGAAGTATTGAAGAGGCATATCCTTGTGATCGCATGTGGAGAAAGACAAAGATAGATGACCATGTAGAAAGCCAGATTATTTTGCATACACAAGCACATCCAGTTTACACTGTTATAATCCAAAACAATTTTTTTTTGAAACATTTGTTTTGGAAATGGGTGTCTGAGTTGTAAGAGGGTATGGGGTCACCCACTCAGACACGTGGGTTTTCTCCGGGGGCTCCGGTTTCCTCCCACACTGACCCCATTCTTTTTCTCTGTGCCAATGTAAATATCTTTATCTATTGTTTTGCTCTGATGTTATTTTACTTAGTTTGTTATATTTTATATAAAATGTTTAGATGAAGTAGTTGAAAGCTAGTTGTTAAGTAGACCTTGTCGATACCCTGGGGCATTACTGGTTGGAACTTCGTGGATCCTTGGCCGCTACGGTTGCCAGGCTGGCCTGGGGAGGAGGGGTTGAAAACGCAACTAGTTGTAGGCTGCTTTGTCTTTAATAATCTGTTTTCATTTTATCTAAAATCAAAGAATCATATATGTTGCAGATATAATGATTGTTAAATATTAAATTAGTATTCCTGGAATGTACAAATTCTGTCAGCTACTGTACCAGTAATAATTTGTATAGTCAACTCTGATTATTAGCTTATTGTGAAATTGAATGCATTATATACTGACTAAATCTTCAGTAAAAGTAATTGATTATAAATTTTGATGTGAAATTATGATTTGTATTTAATAATGTAAAGTAATTGGATCTGAACATGTTAAATTGTGATCTGTTAATGTTAAATTGTGATTTTTGAATGTCAAATTGTGATTTTTGAATGTCAAATTGTACCTGTCAATGATTTGTTTATGTAAAATAGTGATTTGTGAACGTTTGTGAATTTAATGTCTGATTTCATTGTGCAAAAAAAGAAAACAAAACAAACAAAAAAAAAAAGCCAGGAAAAAAAAAACAAGAAAAGACAAAAAAAAAAAAAAAAAAAGAAAGAAAGAAAGAAAAGAAAAGAAAAAAAAAACATAGTAAAAAAACAAAAAACAAAAAAAAACAAAAAAAAAAAAAAAAAAAAAAGAAAGAAAACAAAGAAAAACAGATTTGAAAGAAAAAAATATATATAAAGGAGCAAAACAAAAAGGCACAAAACTTTTAATGCTGCCTGCTTGAATTAACATATTTGCATGTTTTTTCAAGCAGAAGGTTCCAAGCCCTTAAAAGCAGAGGAGAAGTTTTGGTATCTTATGACATATTGACATTACTGAATGTATGCCAAAGAAGATGGGCAGACAATGACAAGCAGAATACCTATAGTGCAATGAACATGAAGGTAAAAAATTAAATCTCATTTATAACAAAATTTTCTGTGATATTTCATCTAACATAGTATACTTAATGTAAAATCTCTACAATTTGCAAAAAATCTCACAAAGACTGAAATTATTTGCTTATAAAATAGCATACACACACTAAAGAGGGCAAAAAGGATCGATATGTCATACTATACATTGTACGTATTACACAACTTTTTGATATGAATGAGTTTATCCTCAAAGTTTGTGTTTAACTATGCATTTTTTGGTGAACAAAAACATGGAGCAATTAGACCCACTATCTCTTAAAAATACACTTTTATGACACAACATTTGTATCTTTCTGAGAAATATTCAGAGACCATTTAGTTAAGAGTCATATCACAAACATGATCTAAATGCTGCTATTCATCAGGAGTTGTGTAGCATAGTGGCTAGCATGTTAATCTCAAAGGAAATTGATACATGTACCTAGGATTTTTATTGCTGAGGATTAGAAACCCACAAATACCACACTATTTTTTATGGAATTCCATATACAACAGCCAACTGCTCACGGTTTTTTTTTAGTTCGCATTATAAATATTATACCTTTTTTGGCATTACATTTGCAGGAAAATAATTCAATAGCTTTTTTTAACAAGTAAGGTGGGGGGGGGGGGGGGGGGATGGTAAAAGTGTATATAACGTCAGATAAAACTGGGGGCCAAACTTTTAGTTGAATCTGTAGAATATTTGTGTAACATTTGTTGATATATGTAATCTATTTATATGAGAAATACTTTTGAAAATTATATTACAAGGCATTTTACTATATTTAAAAACAATTTAATTCTGGTTATAATGCAGTATTTGATTGGATAAAAATTTTACTTTATATCGTATAATATGGGTTGCCTACGTCTCAATTACTTGAGTCAAAAATGTATCGATCCGCCTTATGTTACATTTAAATTTTGTACAATTTGAAGTTATTTTTTAAGGACAATAATCTTTTTTTTCTTACACTAACTGAATGAAAATTAAATTATAAGAAATGAATTTAATAGCTATCCAATTTATACGGTATAAACTGGGTTGGAACAGTTTACGCTTTTCTAGAAACCTCTTGGCAGTTTATAAAGCGTAAACTGTTCCAACCCAGTTTATACTGTATAGATTGGGTAGCTATTAAATTCATTCCCTAAAATAGTAGATCCTAAGCAATACAAGAAGTAATTTCAACCCCGGGGAGAAGGGGGGACAACCCAACCAAAATCCCCTGACAAATAATTAAAAAGGTCATAGGCATCATTATTGAGGGAGCATAACTGTAAAACCCTTACCCCCCCCCCCCCCTTCTCTCCACAGTTAACACCACCAATGTTTCTACAGACCTAACATTATCCATTAATTCGATTTAAATATGACACATGACACATATAAAAATCTCAGATACATGTACTTTTCATTTAGGGTAAAAAGAAACACTAAAAGATATTACATGTTTTACCCTAGGCAAAAGTTATGTTATTATGAGTTTTGTAAAATTTCTAGTATGAATACAATGATACATATACCAAAAATGTTACCCAAGACCCTACTAAAAGTTTGTTCTCTTGTCGTATGTGAAACCCCCCATCCCCCACCCATCAAAAAATTGAATCATCTGCCTGCAAGAAAGTGTGGGATTTAGATGTTTTGTTTTTATGAGGAAATACTCGAGACTTTCTTCTGATATACTCCATCCTCGCCTTCACAGTTTAAAAAGTCCTGGATCTGCCAATTTTTGTTATTATTGCCATAGGCTTTGGTTTAAGGATGATTTTGTGTATTATGTGTTTTTCTAGGTGTGTGTGAATACACTCATTAAAATAAAAATTAAAAATCTCTGAAATTAGCATGTTTTAAAAATATCTTGTTACTGTATTCAAAAGAATTTTTCATATATCTTTTATATCTTATATTTTTTAACCCCCCCCCCATTCCCTTAGCTGAAACAACAAAACCATTGGTATGAATTTGTAAAAATAGTAAAAAAAATTTCCATTCCCGTTGATTTCTATAGTAAAAAAAACACAAGTTTTACCAAAATTATAAACTTATCTCCATTTGTTTTCCCACATAAGTTATGTTTTATAATGAAATTTTACATTTAAATATCTATATAAATCTGAAAAATCATTAAAAATGTTAACATTTTAAATTTATTCGGAGATAGGCGGCAGAATATAACTATCCTTTGCAGTGATATGGTATATTCAAGCATGCGCATTAAAGTATTAAGATAACAAAATAGGCAATATCATCTATAGGCAGTGACAGCTGGCAGTAAGCAGTGACAGTTGGCAGTACGCAGTTGGCTGTCGTATATGGAATTCCATAATTTTTTAATAACAGAATAATTTTTGCAGAGAAAATTTTCTTCAGAAAAGTTTTGTTTATCATATAATTTCATAAATTTCAATATTGTGAACTTTACTCTAAAGACTAAATCACAAATTAAATATGATTTGTATATATCTGAATCTATAGACATTCTGCAAGCCATCATGTTCACCAATCTCCTTAATGTTGGCACACCTGATCATGATATATCTCTAATCATTGGAAGATATCAATTATTTTGATATGTATAATGTATCAATTCAAATAATTAAAATCTCTTCCAAAAAAATACTCGTAATGGTATCTTCAATTCTGATTTAATGCAGTATTTTGTTGAAATGAGGTGCAAAATCATGATTTCTAAATACAACTTTGTTGCTCTCTTCAAATGGATTAATATCGACAGTTGAATTTATGCATGCACAAATGAAAAGATATGTGCCACAATGCTCATCCTTATTGTTACATTAATTCTGTTGTTCTTGAGAAAGAGATTTTTTAAAACATACTCAGCTAAATCTCATCTGAGTTGCTTCGACTTTTGACATAACTGTTTATTAGTATATGCATGATGTTTCAAACCCAGTTTTAAAGAAATCATTTTAGATACGAATCTATCAAATTAATACACTAATACAAATTTGTAAGTATTATTTAACTGTGACATAATTTGCTGACATTAACATTCCTTGTGACCTTGAACTAACTATTTGTCCTAATGTTAAACATAGAAGAGGGTACTTTTTTCCATGTTGCATAATTAATTAACCCTAGCTTGGGCATTCATGTCCTATGGACATATTTCTAGCTTTAGATTTTCCCAGTAGATATTCTATGGTCCTATGGGACCACCCCGTTTCAAATATACCACACAGGGATAATATCATCTATCACAATTAATGCTCTGCTGGTCTTGGGAACATTATTTTTTATTGTGTTATTAATGTTGTTTAATGATTATTAATTTACATTATATTCTCCTGTCTTCGCTTGCTCTTTGTTTGTTTATGTTTGTCACAATGGGATCTTCCGCTAGAAGAGTCCATTTGTTATATTTAAGATGGGTTCTGCACGGAAGAAGATTCTCTGATTTAATATTCATTGGACAATCAAATTGAGCGGTTCTCCTGGTTTTAGTGCCTCCTATCGGGAGATAGCTAGCGCCACCTATTTACGTCATATTGCTTGCTTTCTTATTTTCAAATTTGGCATCTGTGCCATCCAATCAAATTATGGTAATCTCCTATTTCAACCCATGTTTTGGCCAGTTAGCGTCACTTTCTTAGAAAATTATCCGAGGCAGAATCCACGTCGTTTTATTCCATAATTAAGTTTTTTTTGGGCCGTATGAATTACTACGACTGTATTAGTTAAAAGTTTTAGTTGTTCCTTGCAAACCTTTACCATGGACACAACTTTCACCAGCTAGGGTTGTACATTTTTTCAGCCTCCCTTAGTGGTATGTGCTGTATGACTTTGAAGCCACGTGAATTCACGCTATCTTAGTGGACTGTGATTTTCATTGTGCTAAAGCTCTGTTGGACATTGCCCTTGACTGTGCAGCTATGTGTGAGGGATGTATTTTCTGTGCCCCAGAGGAGGTTATCCCTATGCCAGCATGCATTCCTTGGCTCTCTAGGAGTGCCTAAGTGTACGACTATTTTAGCACTAAGCATGTCCCTGCTGTTCTTGAAAAGAAGATGTTTAAAAAATCAAATGTATAGAATATGTATTTACTAATTTGTGCCTCCAGCACCCTACACAAGGGGACCATGATTTGCACAAACTTGATTTTGCACCGAGGATCCTTGCATTTTTAATATCACTAATCATGACCTTGTTGTTGCCGAGAAGATTTTTACTCACTCTGCTCACCTCAACTTAGTTAGGGGGAGCTTTAATGCAATAAACTTGGCACTGGCTTTCCAGGTTAAAGTTTTCAGAGCAAGTTTCCTTTCAGTAACTTCTGTGTCCTATATTAATCAAAGATGCATGGATGATGCTTCTAGTAAATGTTTCAGATGCTCCAATTTCAGCTAAAGAATTACCAATTTGATGTTTTTGGAGCAGGTTAAAGTTTTTGGAGCAGGTCTCATTTACAAGTAACTATATGCCCTATATTGACCAAACTTGCATGGATATGATACATCTATAGTGATGCACACTACCAGGTTTGTGCTTCAGATGCTTGGTCTGGCCTACATTTTCCTGATGAGTGACAAGGTTTAAGTTTTTGGAGCAGGTCTTATTTATAAGTAACCAAAATCCCTATTTTGACCAAACTTTCAGGATGATTTATCTAAGGATGCACACTACCAGGCTTGCTTCAAATGCTAAATCTGATGACTACATTTTCCTGATGAGTGACATTAGGTTAAAGTTTCTGGAGCAGGTTCATTCTAAAGTAACTATAAGCCCTATATATGTGGACCAAACTTGCATGGATGTCAACATCTAAGAATGCACACTACTGGACTTGCTTTTAATTAGATTATGGCTGGAACTGACCTAAATTTTTTGGTTAAGTGACAAAATTTAAGTTTTTGGAGCAGATTCATTCTAAAGTAACCGTTTGCCCTGCTTGGACCAAACTAGCATATATGATAGATCTATAAGGATGCACACTATTGCTTCACATGCTGAATTTGAGCTATATTTTCAGCCAGGGTAAGCAACAGGGTGGGTTTTTGGAGCAGATTCATTCTAAAGTGTCTATTTGCCCTATATATATATACTTACCAACTTTGCATTGAAGGTACATTTATTGATGCACACTACCAAATTTGCCTTAGATGCAGGATTTGACCTATACATTTTCCAGATGAGTGACCAGGTAAAAGTTTTTTGGAACAGAGTCATTCCAGTGTTATTTTAACCCCTACATGTACCTAGACCAAACGAACACTCTCATACTTGTTTCAGATGCTGGATTTGACTGTATGAGTGACCAGTTAATTTTTTTTTTAGGCAAGTCCATTCCCAAGTTAACTGCATGCCCTATATGGACCAAAATTGCATAAATTTTGCATCTATAGTGATGTGCACTTCTACATTATTAGTTTAGTGTGGGACTTTACCTTACTTAAAGACAACATTAGTTGAGGTGAGCTCTGTAATATCTGTTTTCCTATGTTTAAAAATTGTTTTCATATTTTCATGCCCTGCTATCAATATGGTCGGGCATAATTAAAGTGTTTTTTAATGTCCATCCTTCCATCCGTCTGTTAGTCAAATTTTGTGTTTAGTTCAGTTTTAGAAAATCAAACTTTATTTCCTGATACATATTGATTAGAGCTTTTCAACTGCATCAACATTTCTTTTACCTTTCCTTGAGCCTTAAATTGGCCTCACTTTCCTTATAAATATAATTAAATGTTGAGCTCAGTTTCAAACAACTAAAATTTTTCCTAGTATTTACCTTAAACTATACCTCGATATACCTTATTTGATCAAGCTATGGTTATTAAGCAGCATTAGAGGGTTTCAATTCTCATTACCGGTAACAAAACTGTAGGCACCTTAATTCATTTACTGTATTATACTGAATCTTCACCTCAGGCGATTCGAAGACGATGGTTACCAATGCTTTATAATACCAGTAAATCTAGCGTTAACCTACTTGTAAAAGCTTACCACTGGCGTCATTGTCTGTGTGTTTGTAGTAGTTAAGTATTGTAGAAGACTTCCTGATCTTGAAAGCTGTTCAAATGTTGACTTTCCCAGTCTGTCCATTCTAGACAAATATTCAATGTGCTCTAAAGGTCGTCGTGTGTTTACTTTTGTTATAAATACAAAAGTGGTTCGCAACCTTTGTTACGTCCGAGTTCTGTGACGCATGTTTTATTGTGATGTCATCGATATAAGAATAAGTTCACGTACGATCTATTTTTTATATTTTATCAAGAATTATCTACCTAATGTTTTCATTAAAAAGAAAGTAGCATAAATTTCCCGAAATCCGAAATCTGAGTTTCCTTTTCCATGAAAATATATTCCAAGCATTTTGTACCACGCAGCCTCACTCTTTTCTTCACGTTAAGTCATGAAAAATGGAAAACAACTGTTACTCAATAGGGAATTTTTTGCATATATACATGTACTATTATGTTACATGTATTCGATCCACGGACGCAGTGACCAATTAAGCACTTCACTGATGATGTACCTGACGTTTTTGATAAACACGAACAGATAAAATATTTCGTACACTGGGGCAATCAGTCTAGAACTTGGAATTTTTTTCGTAAATAATTCTGCTGCCCTTAAAAACATCGCAAGAGATGACTTTTCAGTATTATGCAAAATTGATATATTCCTGGTATTGTTGAGCCAGAACTTTATATTTTAAATACAATGAAATATAACAGTTGATGTATACCAAATATAAACATGATAAATGGGAGGTAAATTTAATTTTTTAGACATGACTTCAAGTGCCTAGATACAGTCAGTGGGAATACCAAACAGTGACCTATGTCTCAATTCTAGGTCCAATGGGAAATTTCTTCAGAAAGGTATATGGCTCATTATAGATAATATATTTGCTTAGTAATAGTGACAACTCATTTGGAGGTTCTTGACTTTCTCTTTGGGGTTCCTCTGAACTGTGATAAAATAATAGCAGTGTTGATGTACATCATTATTACAAATTAGCATTTTAAAGCATTAGAAGCTGAATAGAGTTTGAATGTATGTCATTGCCGGTAAATAAAGCTATAGAAATAAGACAGTAGAGGACACAAGTATAAGCTGTAAACAAGGTACAGTATACTTTATAATTTTATATATGCTACTGTAGGTAGTGAGCTTCAGTTACTCAACTGTTAATTAAAATTGTAACCAAAGGGACAGTACAATATTTTCTCTAATGAATGCCAAGATTGTGTAGAACATCAGAGAAGAAGGGCATACTTATACCTTCTCCATTTTAGTAATTATGATAAGTTTTCAGTTGTGGGATATATTGCAAAGAAACAAAAAAATAAAAATGTTTAGTGAAATACTTAATCAAAGTAATTAAGAGTTTGAAAATTAATTCATTACTATATATATTAACTACAGATTCATTTTACTCATATTCCAAATATGGAAGTAATCTTTAAAAAAAAAAAAAAAAAAAAACATATGAACTGTTGAAGTATGTTTGTTTCTTCTTTTGCAGCTGAAGAGACACTAAAGAGGAGGAGGAGGGTAGGAAAGAAATGAGTACTTTTGAAATTTATTTTTCAATACTGCTGAAAGCCTAATTCATGGTATTATGAGTATACAATGTTCATGTAAATTAAATTGAAGTTCACATGAGAAACTATTAATTAATTTTTATTGCCCTTACTGGAGAAAAAGAGGGGTGTTAACCAAAAATTTCTATCCATCTTGTTAAAGTTTTGTAAAATCCTTTTATCTTTGAGAATTGAAGCCTTTTATAAAACCATTAATGATGTATTTAAGTAGTGGTCATGGTATTCCACATATTGGATGGTTTTTAGTATGCATAGGTACACACTAGGAGTGTGGAAAGTTGCATAAGCCACAGAGGCCACATTACATGTCTAAATACATGAAATACCAAAAATAATCTATTTGACTGATCATTGAGATAAGATTAACCCTTTAGGTAATACATGTATAATATTTGTTGTGTTCAGTTTTATTTTTACAGGAAAATATCAGTTTCCAAAAACTTTGGAGGAATTTGGATACTACTTTAACAAAGGTAAATTTTTAGGTACATAAAATTTGAGAAATGTTGAATAAATCTTTCAGAGCCTTACACATATTTGAATCCCTTTGGTTTGCTGCAAGTCTTTTATAAACCATAGATGCTTTAATAGTAGCTATGGTAAATGGGACTGGCATAAACTAAGAGAGTCATATAATTTTTATCAAAATGATTTATGGGTGATTCTCATTCAATCTTATGTACCACAACTCTCTGTGTTCTTAAGATTCTGATGTAGCCATCAAACTGCTAGGTATTTGAAAGCTTATATGGCCACCTTTTTGAATTAAATATATACAATGTAAACCAACTTTTCTTCGAATGAATATGTGCATAAATATATATATGCATGAATAAAAAGTTCACAGCCTTCTCTTACTCATGAATATTTCTTGCCACAAATTATTCATTTCATTGTGTATTTATGTAGGATAATTCCTCATTTGCAAGAATTAGCCATCATGGATAGATTTCAAACTG